TGCTTATTCCGGTATAACAGGCATGTAATATCTTGTGTTTTCCACAGCTCAAAGCCTAGCTGGGCCGATCAGGTGGAGGAAGAGGGAGATGAAGGTAACTTACGAGGCCGCAGCGCAGCCTCGCGCACGTGTTTAAACACTCATTAATTAAACTACACTCATTACATTAGACTACTCTACCGATAGTGAAAGTTACAGTCAGTGAGCGGGATGTCAGCCTGACAGAAAAAGGCAGCTGGTGCTTTGTGCTGTGACGGTTCTATATTGTACTATGCTAATGCTATATATAAGTTACACATGCACTATGCTATACTAACGTTACTTGTTTTATGCTACACCCATCTGTAAAATATTACACATCGTGCTGTTATTCTTTGACATTACATCGTACCGTGTTGTGCAGTGTATATACTATCATGATGCTAAATTGTACCATACTGTATGTCAGTATAGTGACAACAATTAGACAAATGGAGGATTGTTTTTTGTTGAAAAAGAATTAGGGCTGAAAATAACCTGTGCAACGGGGTGCATATGTTTTTAACATCAAAGATTTTGTGTAAAATAAATTATACGAGTATACAAGGAAAAGTGTATATTTCAGGTGCTGTACTTGATTACAATTTCTACAGTTTTCCACCATTTAATTCGTCTTAAGTTTTTTTAACAATTTCAGTATGTGACAGTAAACATTAATATTTCATCAAGTCAGTTAATGTGAGGTCAGAAAAAAAACCTTGTAAAAAGGATTAAACAAAAACGACTAAATAAGTAAAAGTACATTAAATAAATAAAAGATAAATGCTTTTTAAAATAGTCTTAGTTTGTATACATGCATACTGTGACTGCATGACATGCCATATAAACTATAGTTATGCATTTATAACAGGTGTATTTACTTACTTCAACAGGTACACTCCCTTCACCAAAAGAGACAGTCAAAGGTAACATCAAGACTGTCACAGAATACAAGATTGATGAAGATGGCCAGAAGTGTAAGGTTAGCAGAGTTCTTCTTAATATTATATCGTACTTGTCAAAAGGTTTCAGAAGAATCCGGTTTCATATTTGTCCTTTGCTCCTCTATGGTCAGATTGTCAGGACGTTCAAAATTGAGACACGGAAGGCCTCCAAAGCAGTTGCCAGGAGGAAGGTATGTCTTAATTTTTCTTTAGTATTTTGACATCTAAATATATTGTTTTTGTTTGTTTTGGGGGGGGGATTGATTGTTGTTTCATCCAACAGAACTGGAAAAAATTTGGCAACTCTGAATTTGATGCACCAGGTCCCAATGTTGCCACCACCACAGTGAGTGATGACGTCTTCATGACCTTCATCTCCAGTAAAGAGGTATGATGATGAGAACCTGATGAAGTTTTTACACGGAGGCATTGCATATTAAAGAAATAGTTCACCCAGAAATGAAAATTAGCTTGAAAATGTACTCGCCCTCAGGCCATCAAAGATTGTAGATGAGTTTGTTTCTTCATGGGAACAGATATTTAGCATTACATCACATGCTCACCAATGAATCCTCTGCAGTCAATGGGTGCCGTCAGAATGAGAGTCCAAACAGCTGTCGTGTTTAAGCGAAAAGCTGCATGTTTGTAATAAATCTGTCGTTAAGATGTTTTGAAACTTCAAACGGTTGCTTCTGGCAAAACTACGAGTCATCTATCCATTATATTGCTTTATCCAGTGAAAAAGTAGTCCTGTCTGAATCAGGAGAGAAATATGCACAGATCAAGCATTGTTTACAATCCAAAACAGTCCTAAACATTTTTTGGTTGGTTTTAATGTGAGATGACCACCTGATGGACTTTCTTCACTAGAGGAAGTGTAATTATGGATTATAGACTTGTATTTTGGTCAGAAGCATTGATTTAAAGATGAAACGACTTGATGGATTTCCACTTTACGAAACGTTTATTGATGGACTGGAGTCATGTGAATTACTTGTGATATTTTTATCAACTGTTTGAACTCTCATTTTGACGGCACCCATTCACTAATAAGGGTTAATTGGTGAGCAAGTGATGTAATGCTACATTTCTCCAACTCAGTTCCAGTAAAGTTAGAGACTCGTCTACATTTTGGATGGCCTAAAGGTGAGTGCATAGTCATACATTTTTTTTTTTGCGAACTATTCTTGCTAAAACACTTTCACTTCTATGTTGTACCGATGCCAACTTGAAGTGATTCTCCTGCTTGTTTTAACAGGACTTGAATGCTCAAGACCAAGATGAAGATCCCATGAACAAGCTGAAAGGACAGAAGATCGTGTCCTGCCGTATCTGTAAAGGGGATCACTGGACCACTCGCTGTCCGTACAAGGACACACTTGGTCCTATGCAGAAGGAGCTGGCCGAGCAGCTGGGTCTCTCCACGGGAGAAAAAGAGAAGGCAGCAGGTACGAAACCTTCATGTTGTCCTGTTAAGCATATTCGTTGAGGCGATTAATGAAAATTATTTTACTTTGATATCTAGAGCCAGAGCCTGCCCAACCAGTCCAAAGCAAGACGGGGAAGTATGTTCCCCCCAGCCTGCGGGACGGTGGTACGCGCAGAGGAGAGTCCATGCAGCCTAACCGCAGAGGTACATGTTTGACATCCAGATCTTAAACTGATGTTCTCAATCAAGAGCCTAATGGTAATGTGGTGATATTTTCTCTGCAGCTGATGATAATGCAACAATCCGTGTGACCAACTTGTCCGAGGACACCAGGGAGACAGATCTGCAGGAGCTTTTCAGGCCTTTTGGCTCCATCTCTAGGATCTATCTGGCCAAGGACAAGAACACAGGCCAGTCTAAGGTGAGAGATGTGAAACACGGCCGTCGGATTCATGAGCAAATGACAAAAAAGGAAAGAGAAGTTAAAGATTCACGTTGACTCATCTACTCAGTTTAAGAACTAAACAGGAAAATGTGTGATTGTTAATCTAAAAATAAATCTGCTTACATTAGTTTTAATAATATGACCGCATGAACCATATGAGTAATGTTTTCAGAAAAATAGCACATATAACTTCTTTCCCCATTACTCTAGGGCTTTGCCTTCATCAGCTTCCACCGCCGTGAGGACGCTGCCAGAGCCATCGCTGGTGTGTCTGGCTTCGGTTACGATCATCTCATTCTCAACGTTGAATGGGCCAAGTGAGTGCTCCTGAAAGAGAAGTTAAAGATTCACGTTGACTCATCTACTCAGTTTAAGAATTAAACAGGAAAATGAGTGTGATTGTTAATCTAAAAACAAATCTGCTTACACTAGTTTTAATAATATGACCGCATGAACCATATGAGTAATGTTTTCAGAAAAATAGCACATATAACTTCTTTCCCCATTACTCTAGGGCTTTGCCTTCATCAGCTTCCACCGCCGTGAGGACGCTGCCAGAGCCATCGCTGGTGTGTCTGGCTTCGGTTACGATCATCTCATTCTCAACGTTGAATGGGCCAAGTGAGTGCTCCTGAAAGAGTCTAAAATGAGCAACAGCCATGCTTTCTCTGATCTAATCATGCTTTCCTTGTCTTTCCAGACCCTCCAACAACTGACAGAGCTCCATGAATATTCCAGGTCTAGATTTGTTCTGCCAATTGTATCAGGCAGTGTTCCAAATAAATGCAAATGATAAAAGCATCCAGTTGTCTGTGTTTCACTCTGTGGTTTTGTTCTGTAATCTGTCTTTAATTAGCTTGTTTTCGAAGTACTTGCATTTAAGTGTACTAGTAAAGCTGCAAGCAACTCTAAACCTTACCAGTGCTTTACATAGAAATAATGGAGAACTAATGAAGAAATCTTGAGGAAAATGCAAGTATTCCTTTGCTAAAGGTTAATGTTCTGGTCTGAGGTATCCTGTAAACCTTATTTTGCTATGTAGAAGTTATTTTCTGTCAATGTGTAAGGCTTCGGATTCATTTTTCGCTGTAAGTAAATAACTAGAGGAACAACATGCAAGAAATGGTAACAAACACCAGTCTAAAAAAACTGGTAAAAATAAGGTGGATAGAGGCAGTCTTAAGATAGACAAACATCACTAAAAAGACAAGCCCATAGACACGTCCCCTCAATATGGTCAAACTGTTCCCCTGGTATTTGATGTTATTGGTGCTGCTTTGCTGCAGGTCATTACACATCGCTCGGTTAGGATAAGAAGTTTCAAATGTTTTTAGGATGGTCTTCCTCAGCAGTATGATGGCGCTTGTCAATGGCCAATCAAATAAAAAGGCAAGCTTTCAGTTCACCGAACCAGAACGTTCCAACACAGTTGGTTTTAACAGTGAAGAGTGTAAGGCAATATATAAGTAGCTAAACGTATTATTTGACAAGTGTTTCATGATAGAATGTTAAATGACCAACAGTAATAGTCAATGTGGCTAACTATGACTATTTTTGACAGATTGTGCAGTTTTTAATTGAAAATACAGACTACCTTTTGATTCATGTAACTCATAATTAAATGACAAGACAAATTAACAGAACAGTTTAACGTATTAGACAAAAAAAAAAAAAAAAGGTTCCTACCACACACCCAAAAAGTTGACTAGTGCTTCAAGTAGGAAACAGAAGCTCAAACACAGTGCTTATGATTGGCATATTCATTATTTTGTTATTTTTATAAGCAGCCATTTAACAAGAATGTAATTTGAACATTGAAAATGTGCAATGCGTGTTATGCACGTGGCATAAAAAGTAAAGGCACTGCATGTTGCATGGAGTAAACTTTACATCTCAAAATATATATATTTTTTTACAGGTTTAAGATATTTAATTGAAGAATCCATGAGCTTCTAAAACAGTCACACATTCTCCTCTCACCCACTTGTCTTTTAGGGTGCTATTGCAAGTGTAACTTCCTTTTCATTACACAGCAAGGAGTGAGCTCACAATGCAGTAATTGAGAGCATGCCAATAAATTTAAGAATAATTTAAATGCATTTCCCTTGGGACCATTTACCAGATTTAAGACCTGGGGAAAAAATAAATAAAAACATGGACACCATTGAATAAGAGCTTTATTTGAAATATTACAACATATAAAAACTACATAGAATTTAATACCACTGTCTCAGAGTGGATAATTGCAAATACACGATTAAAATCACATTGAGAAATTGATAAAACATCACATAATGGCACTGCACAGACTGTCCATTGAAATGCCACTGAAGTGGTCAGCTCCGGACCAGCTTATGGATAAATGGAATGAGTTTAATGGGCTGATGCGTCAAGACGCTCCCAAACACAAATGTAAATGTGCGGCGGTTTTATGGAGATGGCTTTAGTTGCAAACCTCCATCTTCTCCTGCTTCACAGGCTCTGAGGAAGTTGAACAAGAGATTAAACTTCCTTCTACTAGTGAGATCAAAAAAGTACTTGATAAAAAAATAAAAAAAAGTCACCTGTAGCATTCTCAATCTTTCCTTGCACACACTTCTTGATTTCCAGGCCGATGGCTTTGGAGAGGGGTGGAGGCACAGCATTACCAACCTGAGAAACACAAGGTCATGGATTAGTGATAATTCCACCACCCCCCCCAAAAAAAATAAGACAACCCATTTTAGCACAGGCATCATACCTGTCGGTGTTTGTCCAAGACGTTACCAAAAAAGCGGTAGGTGTCTGGGAATCCCTGGGAGCGTGCACATTCCCTGACACTCACTACACGGTGCTGCTCAGGGTGGAGGACACGTCCCTGTAAACAGTTACCAGTGTAATCGCAACAGGATACAACTTTTTACCCATTATTGTTGTTACAATTCATATTGTGACTGGTTAGCATATGGCATATTGGCAATACCTGCTTGCCCATAGGCTCAGGATTGGTAACGGTGGTGCTGAAGAACCCATCCCATTCCAGACGGCCGTACAGACCAGCCCAGTGATTGTGGCGATTACCCGTGTGAGGCAGACACCAGGGAATCAGCGTGTTGAACTGCCTGTCTGCAGGGTCGCATGGTTTTCCTAGTGCAGTGAGAGACAACAACTGGTAAGTCAGGATTACGATTTAAAAATAAAAAAACAAAACTAAGCGGAAAAAAACCCCATCTTAGATTGAATTATTTGGGAAGGACCAACCCTCAGCACAGGAACACACTCCTTTCAGGGCACCGGTGCCACTGCGGCCATTCTTTTTGTCGGAGTGTGTGTAGCGAAGCTTTTTTGTGGTGGTGCCATCCCGCAACCGCACCTCAATATTGGGCAGATCCCTCCAGTCAGAGCCAGGAGCCAGAGGAATGTGGCGCATGCGGGCCGCCACCAGGGCGCTCATGTCCTACAACACAAAACCAACTATTTAAAACTGCTACACTTGTGGTTTAAAGTTTAAGTGCCTTTTCTCTTCACAAGACTTTTGACATTCAGAAGACAGAAACATGCTCTTCATCTAACCCTTTAAATGACACTAAGGGTTAGAGAAGAGTTTTAGCCTGCTGAATAACTTCCTGTAGGTCTCGCAGGAAATTTCTTACAGAAAAACAACTGTAGCTTTGATACAAGTACGCCCTGCAAGTTAAATGCAAAAAATAAAACCGGGTTTATTAAAGCCACTGATGAATCACGTAACTTTTCCAAATGTCAAAACACCTTCAAGGTGAAGGAACTGACCTTACAGATGTGGTCCCTGAGGATGGGCTGGTACTGAGAGCCACGAATGTGCCTCTGGAACCAGGACTGCGGCTCACCGTTATAGGAGATTTCCAGAGCTGCAGCTCCGTTACGGATCTCTGGGAGGTCAGACATTGTGTCCCGCACAGTGATGGTGCGATAAACACCTCCATTTCCACTGGACAAAAAAAAAAAAAAAAAAAAAAAAAGGTGTGAAAAAAACAAATCATTTGAATGAGCAGAGAAGAGTCCAAAAAGATTTGCAGGGTCCAAAAACATAAAATACGTTTAGTATTTTTATTTTATTTTGCTTTACATTATTTTATTTATTTATTTTACCCATTTTTATTATATAAAATAATTGAAAAAAATTGAAATTGTCCTGTCCTGTATAAACACATAACAAGAAAATGTAAAAACAAATAAAATGTAAATGTAAGAAAATGTAAATCCACATGTACATCCACATGATCTATTTAGGTGCTATTTTTAATAAATGATTCTGACATTATATTTATTGTGCTCGAAAAGCTTAACATTTGCAGCTTTTAAAAATGCACTTTGTGTTTCAAAATACAAGTGCATTCATTTTATTCTAAGAAAAAAAATATTAAACAATCTAAAAATTGTAATTTAAAATCTGAAAAAAAAAATCAGCTACACTTTATTGAGAAGTGTTTTTTTCAGAAGTGCTACTCTTAATAGATTTGAATGTTTGTAGGTCCTGCCATATTGTGCTGTTAGATGGTATAAACCCTTACCAGTCCAGCCCAAAGATGGAGAATTGATCTACACAGGCAACCTGGGAAAAGCTGTCCATCAGAGCAGAAACCAGAATATGTTAGTGACAACACAATCGGGGTAACACCAAATGCTTACCGAGTGACATTGCTGACATGTTTCTTCTCATCAACCACCACACTAAGAGAACAAGCACGTGGGGCGAACACATGCAGAGGTTCAGGAAAGCGGGGCAGCTTTTCACCAGGGGCTGCAGCCAGGACGATTGCCCTGCGTCTGGTCTGGGCCACCCCATACTGCCCTGCCTGCAAATAACAGACATTAAAACAGAGACAATTAAAAGTGATTAAAGTGGGGGGGGGGGAGATAGTGGACTCAGTCCTTTGCTTAGAGGGAAAGAAAAAAAAAAAAATCATTACTTAACCCTTTAGGCGCCAGGGGATTTTTGGGAAAAATGCTGGATTTTGACATCAAGATTTCAAAATCTTGTGGCTTGAAAGGGCTTAAAGATAGAGATCTACTGTAAATTAGAAAAATGTTGGGCATGACCGAAAGTTTATGTGAGGTGTAAATATACTCATCTAATTAGCATATTATGACATCAGAGGCGGCCATCTTGAATTTCATAATATTCAGGAAATAGTAGATATTGAATTGATGTTTGAACTAGGGCTGCAACAACTAATCGATAAAATCGATTATCATCAATTATGAAAATCATCGACAACGATTCTCATTATCGATTAATCGGGTCTGCCCGCAGTGCACGTCCAACGGAGTTTACATACTTGTCCAACTTCAGCCGGTCGCGTCAAATTAAAGCACTGAATTACTTATTTCTATGGACAAAATGCATCTAAAATAGTGGCGGAAACAGAATGAGATTCTGCAGGAGAGTTACGTGATCCAAGCTGCCCAAAACATGAGAATTCTTTATTTTAAGCTTTAAGCTAATGCATTAGCGTAATGGCTTGACCTGTCAGGCGCTTTAACAGATGCGTGTGCGTCTGTTCAGTTAACGGTCATATCCTCATGTATAAATGTCACAAATTCACTTTCCATTTTTGCATAAAGGTCCGTCCTGACAGTCGGTGTTAAATTTTAATCTTTACTGAATGAGCGCCAGCGTCAGACAGACGGAAAACAGAGACAATTAATAATCAGCTCAAAAAAATTTATTGTGCTGAAATATCTGTTGTTAAAAGTTAAATTAAGGTTTAAAGGTCAACATGCATTGCGCATATTTTATGAGAGTAGGAACTGTAAGGGGATAAAAGCGTGTAATTGTCTGAATATAAATATCAGACGCTTCAAAACCGCCTTTAACAGGATAAAGAAATGACACTAAGCCCTATTCGGAATCCATGAGTTTTATCACTGAGGTGATAAGTACATTTATTTTTACAGACGTCCATATGAGAAACAATTACCGTCCGAATCGGGTTAAGACGTGACTGTGGTCAAATGAACGCGTGTTCCTGCAGAACATTACTCTTACCTATTGGTTACCACGGAGTTGATCGTCATTTCCAAAAGGCAAATATTCCCCTTCAGAGTCGGAATCGGCGAATAACATTTGCAACATCCTCACGGTACAACTTTTTATTAGCCATTTGGCGATTTTCTCACAAATCTCACAATTTACTTAGACGCTCTGAACTGAACTGCTTCCGCATCAATGACAGATAGCTCACTTGCTCTGCTCTTTACTCAAACACTTTGAATAGGAACATGACGTCATTTTGGTCTAGAATCAAAGTACTACATGTCTGCCATCTAGTGGTACAGAATACAAATGAGATATTACACCATATTAGGAACTACAGCCTATTTTATAAAGTATGACGTCTTGTCACAATTTTGCGACTTTGGCGATTAGAGGGTTAAGTTTAACTTGCCTGTAGCACACCAAAGGTGCACTGGTAGCCCATGCGAACAAGACAGCGCAGTGTGAGCTTCAGGACCATGGAGCGCTTGAATGACACAAAGTTCCTCACGTTCTCCAGCAGGAAGAACTTGGGTCTGTAGTAGTCACAGTAGCTGAAAGGAAAAACCAATCACAATGGCAAATGCATCCAGCAGCATATTTCCAAATAGGCAGAACAACCTTATTTTCACAGCAAGACTCATTCTGCTCACCTCAGATACGAGACAACCAACGAGTTCTTGAACTTGGAGTATGTGCGCGAGTTAAAGCGGTTCATTCCACTGAAGCCTTGGCAGGGCGGCCCACCGCAGAGCATCTCCACATCCCCCTTCTGCGGCAGCTTCTGTCCAAGAGAGTTGCTCTTCTCTCCGGACATCACCAGCTTCAACAGAACGTTACAGTCCTCTGTGAAGACTGTGGTGCCTGGGTTGTTCAACCTGAATGCCTGAGCAGCAGGATCCCACATCTCTATGGCCCAATTTGTCTCCGAAATACCTGTTTGGGAAAAGAAATGTATAAAATACAACACAACAGGGGTGCTCAGAGTGGACTGCGGTCTGGTTCTGGACCCCAGCTTACAGTTTCTACATTCATTCAAGCCCTTTCCGCTCGGTGTGCGCTGCTTCTCTCAGCTGCTAAAGATGTAAAGCACTAAATTTGCAGATTGAAGCAGCTGTTTTTTCCTATCATATAGGACTCCAAACATTCAAATAAACCAGGTTTGTGACGAGACACCCCCCCTCCCCCTCTACATAAAGCACTATTAATCAGCATGTTAAGAGCACTTCAATAATGCTATAATACAGCATTATTAAAAAACATATATAAAAAACAGCTGCTTCAATCTGCAAATTTAGTGCTTTACATCTTTAGCAGCTGAGAGAAGCAGCGCACACCGAGCGGAAAGGGCTTGAATGAATGTAGAAACTGTAAGCTGGGGTCCAGAACCAGACCGCAGTCCACTCTGAGCACCCCTGTTGTGTTGTATTTTATACATTTCTTTTATACAATTTGTAGAGGGCAATGAAATGCAACCAAAACTTTGAAATTACTAAAATTCTCTATTCATGATCAGAGCATTTTAAAAACATTGGACCATTTTTGTATTTTGCTTAATACCTATTAAAAACAGACTTCAAGAGGAAAACCATGAACCACCACATTATTTTTCTCAGTCTTTTTAAATCACAGCTTAAGATTAAATAATTTTGTAAAGTTTATTTTTGATTACCATTTTGACAGTTAAGGATCTTTTTACAAAGTACATCACTGGGAAGAAAACTTTAACTGAAAACCCCTGCAACAATATATTTCCAGAAACCGGTTTGGATAGAAGCCCAACCTGCTTGATGGAAACCTTCAGACAGTCCACCACAGCCAGAGAACACATCCAGTGTGCGCAGTTTGGGGACTGTGGTCTCTTGCGGCTCCTGATCCTGCAATTCCTGCGAGGCTGCTTTACCCTTCCCTTTACCTGCAGAAAACCACAATATACAAATATTTTAGCGTTTTTGTCCCCCACAGGCAGTCATGATTTGTAAACAATATTGCATTAATGATGGGCAATTTCAAGCAAAAGAAACAGAACCGGGAACTACAAGAAAAAAAAAAAATAAAAAAAAATGATATATAAGTTTCCATGACTTGTCATCTCAAAGTTATAAATCAAATGGTTACCTTTCCCCTTTCCTTTCCCTTTGCCCTTATGCACTGCTGATCGGGCATGATTGGGAGGATCCTCAAAGCTCTTAGTCCTGGCATTGTATGCCTAAAGAAAACAAAAAAAAAAACTTGAAGACAAAAAAATTCTCTAATGCTTTATTGAAAGTCTTCCAGGTCAGCTGGGAAGAAAAATAGGTGCACCATAGCTCATTGGATCAATGCCACCATCTTTTTGCTCTTTAACACCCATCCCTCATACTCGCCTCTAGGAAATAAAAGCGATCAGGTCCTCTGCTCGAATAGTCCTGCACGCTTTCCACCAGGTCCTCTGCATACTCCACTTGACAGCGGCCCAGCACTTCTGCCATGTTTACGGTCACCTCTTCATCACTCCAGTAGAGCTGGTTTATGTCAGAATGGTAGGCACCCTTTGGTCCTTTATGAGTGTTTTCAGGCCTGAAAGCAATGGTCATCATGAAAAGAACTCTGGTAAGGTTTATATTCAGCCTTAGTGGAAACCTGAAGCTAAAGGTTATACTTCAGGAAACTGATGTAAGCCAAGTGATCTGCTTTAAGAGGAAGAACATGTGTCACCTGTAAAATTTATAGAGACGCAGTTTGATCTCCATTCTGTCTGGCTTTCCATCACAGCGTCTGTTGCAGAAGACTTCTTTGATGCGCCCAACACGGAAGGGCTCTGGTGCATCTAGGTTTGAGCCCTTGATGTAATCTGAGGACTTCCTATAGTATTCTGGGTACACATCTTCATCAGCATCATCCTTCCTGTGAGAACGCTTCACTGTGCTTGCAACCTTCAACCTAAAAGACAAAACGTACCTTTAATAAAACAGCTCTCAACCTCAGAATATGGTTGTGGCTAGAAGGGATACAGCTCCGACCAGACACTAAATGAAATTTAATTTTCTACCTATTAGATTGTGCTTTATTCACAATATAATTGTTGTACAGTGTGACAAATTATGCTATATTGATGTGCGCATGCCCAGTAGCTGCAGCGGTCTCCCTTCTAGCCTTAACCTCAGAATATTTTAAAGGCAGGGGAAAATAAAAGCTTACGCAAAATTAAAGGCCTCTGGGGGGAGATAGACACTGTCCCCTACTCTGTACTGCTCGCCCTTCAGGGTTGCCAAACCATAGAAGACTTTAGAGTCGCTCTCCTCATCCTCCAGGGGTTCATAGACACTAGGCACTTCCTGAACGTCTCGTTCCTTATTCCTTACGCAGCTGGCGCAGAACCTGCCATAAAACGTGTTAAAATGCATGCACAGAAAAACAGATCAGTAATGACGAGGTCTAAAAGGGGCGCTCACTTATACTTGCGGTCCTCTGACGGTGTGACCTTAGGAGGAGACTCAAAGCGAGCACAATCACCATCATACAAGAGCTGATAAAAGAAGCTTTCGCCATCATCTTCGATCACTTTAATGTCATCATCCATTCCACCCTGAAAGCAAACAAATATTAATACCTCCTGCCCAGTTTGTTATAGACAAATGTAGAGCAGATTCAGCGTCTGTACCTCCATGAACCAGTTTTCAGATGGAGCCCTATAGAGGACGTTGACCTTGCCTTGGACGAAACTCAGCTGCATATCTTCACACTCATCCACAAGGAAGAGCTCAAGAGGGTCCGATGACTCTCCAAGAACTGTATCAGTACCACGGCAAAACCAGTGCGCATGAAACATCTTCTCACCATCCTCCCACAACGCCGTGATCCTATAGTCACAGGGAAAACGTTGGCTTACCAATTTAAGGCAATATGGTGCCAATTAAGGTGCCAAGAACCCAGATTTGCTTCAATAAAGGTTACCTGGCCAAGTAGAGGGGATGTGATGGGTCAGCAGGGCTGACAGACACACAGTCTCCCACCTCCACTACCTCATTCTCCACACGCACTTTCATGTAGTACTCCTTCCTTCCATCAGTCTGAAAGGACAACATCAATACTTCAAGTCCAGGAAATGGACATCCAGGTTCTTATTGCATGACAGATCACATACCTTGACGGGCTCGCCCACCCAGCTGATCTTATTCTTGGTTTGTTTTTTCTTTTTTGCCTGAGACATTTTCTTTGTCTCCTTAAGAACCGGCAACACTTCCTCCTCATCCATATTCTCATCGTCCTCAGCTTCTTTCACTGCCAGGTTGGGACATCTGGACAGGGGACAATACACCCATTTAGCTTTATTCCGGCAAACAAATCCAAGGCCATTGAGCTGGATAACACAAACTGGCAGGAAATAAAGTGCTTCTCAAAAGGGTTTTCCTATTCTCACTCTGTACGACAGGGGGCAGCACAATGACTAAAGAGGATTCTGCGCTTTATTAGCATTAGTCACAGCACTGAGCACAGATATGAAACAAAACCGACACAATGAGGCACTACAAAAGCAACAGTAAGGGCAGATTGAAACGACTGATTTAAAAGCACAAAGACTGTTTCAGACACCAAAAAAAGCTCAAAACACAGAAATTAAAATATGGTTGAGACTTTAGATGTTTCACTCCTTCCTGAGCAGATGTGTTGCTAACTAAAGGCAAAATTAATGTATAAATTCTTGCAGTATCTAGGGATGCACCGATCCACCTTTTTCGTCTCCGATACCTTGGGTTCGATATTGGCCGATACCAATCCGATACCAGTGAAGCATTGATCATTGAATCGGATTAGACAGTCGTGTTAGTCTCACAATTCAGAAACCAGCTCTGACCAGTGACATTTAGACTCATTTCACAACACATGGAAACAATACTACATTTTCACCAAGCAGAATGATTAGTATGAAGACTGCCCAGAGTTAGCATACCTCCTCTTCTGACAGGCCTGTTTACTTCTGCCACTGCCTCCAAACTTGATCATATCCTTACAGGCTGAACACTTGCCACAATCTGGTGCTTGACACACCTGAAAAATAAAGATATGATGCCCATCTGGGTCACATGGACATTGCAGGCATGGTTTGGTTGCAATAAAAGGCCATTTTTGGACAACCTACCTCACAGACACCACAACGGTGTCTCTTCACACCACCTCCATCCTTATTGTTCTGGTCAATCTGATCAGAGAAAAATGTGTCAAAGATTTGATAGACCAGTTTAGTGGTGGTGGCTTTAGTTGGGCCCTTGCTGTCCTTTTCAATCTTGGTGGGATGACGGATGGCTTGTCTTCTGGCTGCTCTCCTGAAGAACAAAATGAATGTAATGAGCTACAAATACACCAATTTAGATACACCTAGACCACAAACAGCCAAGGAAAAAAATGAAGCCATGCATGAAATATGTATGGCTGTCACAGGACACTGAATAGATTGACAGTCTGTCAAGACTGGGTGATTTAAATCTCACTTCAAAATCAGTTTTAAAGATCATCCGAGCAGCTCGGCTCTGTGCTTTACAGAACAAGGACATTCAGTTCTTTCAGAGGCTTAGTTTTTCCTAAATGGGCAACTTGTAAATTCAAACAATGGGAGCCCAAATTAACATCTGTTATGCAGAACCATGCAAGTCAGGGAGGAAGAGCTATGGAAAAAAAGTTATTGTCCTCATTACCCACCCCTTTCAGCTAGTGAAGTAGTTTACCAACAACACAGGCTACTGCAGTTGAGCGTATGGGAAAATAAATAAACCAAGCCACACACACACTCTGCAGAAACATCAGGCTTTACATACCAGTACAGCTGCCTGCTGCGTTTGGAAAGGTTAGAGGATCATTAGAAACATGAGGAGAGCATGCAACAAGCACGAGTGAACCTTAACATCCCAACAAACCAATGAACGATTCTACCATAGCTTCAAGAAATGGTTTGCATATCAAAAGAAAATGAAGTTAAACTGTATTCAAACGCATTTATCCACTTTACTAAAAGGTAAACGGTCAAATTTAATAAGCTTTGTGCTATTACAATGTCGCAGTATGTAAACGAACAAACAACTGTTACCTGAACCAAAATTTGACTGGTTTTAGCAAAAGTAGTCTCATCTGGCAGACTTGTGAAAACTACAGATTGTACTTCTGCATTTTTGTATCCCAGCTCAGACAGTCAGATTGAACCAAGTGCATTATTGAGGTTGAAGTTTCCCTATCTTTTTCACCACAGCCCTTTTTGTTATGTAGCGCTGATGTTTACTGCACAGACAGCCAACTTCTCGGGGTATCTGCAGGATTTTTTTTAAAGCCCAAATTTAAGACCTTACTACCTTTAAAGGTCCCATATTGTACACCTTTCTGGAGTTTTATTTGAGGTTTTGATGTCCTTAAGAATATATATTTGCGGTATAAGTACCAAAAACCATCTCAATATATTTTTACAGCTCTTTTCTCAGGAGCTCTGCTGAGAACAGGTCGATTTTGGTCTATGGTAGTTAAATAGCCCCTAGAACTCAGTAATCATGAAAAAAGCCAGGAAATTTCAGTTTTGACAATATGGGACCTTTAAGACCTGCACAAATAAAATTAATACCATATGAGCAGGGTAGGGCAATGTCTACGATAACATAACTATTAACATTTAATAAATGTAAAAAAACATGACTTACAGTTCAGATACAGGTGAGAAAATGATAAATTTTACATTCAGACTTTAAATTTGTTTTAAATGGATGAGTAAAAAGTATTTAAACAATTGTCAATCAATTAATTAAATAACATTTACGGTCTTAATAGATTCAATTTTTATAATGCATTATCTTGTCAATCCACCAGTTCACATTCACAGCTCTGCATGTTTGCCACGTAAAAACAGGTTGATTTTCACACTGGTCTAAAACAGCAGACGTCTCATTGAAAATGCAAATTCATTCTCTGCCAGCATGTGGAGCTTTTGGAACGGCAGAAATATAGCCGTTAACATGCCAATAATCATCTCTGCTTGCCAATTTGTCAGTTTCATTAGCATTGGATGTCCAAGTACATAAAGAACATTAAAAACCATTATCAGGCCCTTTGCACATCAAGGACAGAAACACCCATCATTAAAGCTGCACACAACGTTCCAGGCAATTACTTAGAAATTGATTTTTCATAGGCTTTCAGGTTAGTTTAACAGGTATAAAATAGTCTAAAAACCTGGGCACACTGTTCTTTTAATTATAAGCAGTCCCCATTATATCGGTCATTCATTACTCAGTGTTCATAATAACATCATCCAGAAGTTTCTCTATGAAACTTACCTCTTGCCCAAGGTAACACCAGCCAGCTTGATCAAGTCTCTCATACAGGGAGTGATGAAAGTCTACTGTGTTTCAGTCAACATAGGCTATGGCTTTTTGGCTAGGTTTAAAGGAAAAGAGCACTTTTAGATAAACAAGGCAATAATAGATGGCACTCGTGGAAGTAGGAAAAAAGTTCTTTATGAACCGCAGGATTGCTTGTAATAAAAAATTTAATGCAAAAGAAAAAGGCAGTAGAGCTGACTATTTCTGTCAGTGGCAAGTTTTAATTTAGAATGTTTGTGATAACAAGAAAAGTAGCTTAAATGTTTTGCCACTTGCTTGAGCAACTTAATCTAGAAGTAAATGCAAAAGTAAAAAGCATTGAATAGTGTTTCTTATATTTATTGCATTTAAACAAGTCTATGAAAGATTGTATTATCTACTGCACTGTGTAAAAAAAGAATCACAATGCTGAAAAAGCATTTTCAGTAACAATGTTTGGATTTGAAATTAAAATGACAGATAAATGTGTTTGTAGTAAACAGCCACGGACAGGGTTTCTGCAGACATGAACAAGTTAAATTTAAGACCTTTTTAATACCACCTTATATGAAATGTAAGACCTAAACATTTAACACTGATATTTGAAAAAAAAAAAGAAAAAAAAAAGAAAAGATACTTTAAATGTGAAATTAAAACCGCCAGCACTACATGTCAAATTATTATAATTTATCAATAAATTCAACATACATTATAGGGCTGCTACCAGTCAGATTAAATAATTTACACTGCAAATAACAATAATTACAATTGCAATAATGTTATGAGAAATGCTCTAAATGCATTTATGAATATACAAAGAAATGTTGAGCAGAAAAATGCATACTTTTCAACATACTTCTCAACTAAACTACCAGTAAGTGACGGTAAGTAAATGATGTCATGTTGCTCAAAGACGCAAAACAGCGCTGTGGCTTTGTTTGGAATTATTTTTGTTGGCGAAATAGTGCAAAAACAGGCAATATGGTGTCTAAAACGTAAGTCTCTTAATAAAACTTCTAGTTTATTGAACTGTTGTAAAATAAAAAAAATCAGTATCACATTTGTATATGGTAATTTTGAGAAAAAAAAGGCACTCTTCCGTGTGAAATTGATTAACTATATGAAGTGGTATAAATATACACATTTTCTGCCCCCATGTCTTGAATTTGCGATCATTCTGAATGCATTTTAATAGACTGAATCATGCAGTGAAAGAGCGCACTGTAAATGCGCACGCGCACTAGACTTCACGTAATGCATGCACTCTGTAGGTGTTTTAAATTTTTTTGTGTCGTGAGAATATTGAGCAAAATAGCTCACTTGTCATGGTGTTACTTAACTATATCATGTTATGAATAAACTAAACATTTTGAATTTTTACCTCAGTGTGTTACTTCGGAGTTTGTGTGCCGTCACGCTCATTTGTTCTGAAGTCTCGAGACAAACAGAGTGAGCCTCAGCGCGAGCTTGTATTCTGTATTCTGCTAACTTACTGCAATAGGTTGTTTGCAATCACGTGATTCTGATGACGCGCGAAATGCAGCTGGAGGGCAGGAAGTGATTTTTCTCCATAGAAATCACTAGCAACTTACCGCAATTCTCTGATGACGCAGTAACTTACTGCAGGGAAGAAAAAAATCTTCGGTCTATCCAATGATTGTAAACAGTCATTAGGTCCGTCAGACTGAAGATATTTTAGCGGTAATGTGACCAAAAATATTTTAGACCCATCGAATCCGAATTTAAGACATTTAAGACTTTAAGGCCTTATATTAGGAAAACGTTATTTAAGACGTTTTAAGACTTTAAGGACCCACGGACACCCTGCACGGATCATTTGCAGACCTGCTGCTTCTGCACAGCTTACGTACCACACATGGACTCAACCCTCTATGGACACCTTGGCAATCGAATCGCCATTGGCTAGTAAATTTTTGTTTACTTGCCAGACTGAAATACTATACTACCTATATCTATGTATCTAAAGTTATGCCATTTTCCAAACATAATGTTCGTAAAATGGTACAGCTTTTTAAATATCTGAAAGTACACTCTTAATATCAGTCAGTCAAGCATTATAATATGATAAGTATTATTTAATAATAGAAGTTTAGTCATTAGAATTAAAACTTGGTAACCATGAACTTAGGACTGGTGCTGGTGCTTTTTTTTGGGTCATTCAGTGTTCCTATAAAAAAAACAAGAAATAAAAAAAAACAATAATACTGATAAGATATTATTATTATTATTATTATGACTATTATTATATGAATTCTACTAATAAGAACAATATATAAAAATCCTAAATAAGGATTAATGAGCTACTGGATTCATGAATATTAATCAGGTTGTGTGCGTTTGCTCGAACTGATTCGCTGAAATAAAAACAGGGACGATAATAGGTGAGCGCCAGCCAATGAGTTTGCGCATTAGTTCCGCCTACTACAGGAAAACCTGGCAGTTTCTTAAAGCTGAAGAATTCCAAAAGGAACTCCATTATTTTTACAGGAAAATACAACCAAGTATATAGTTTACATGTAGCGCATCAATTCTGCATGTTATGCAAGACTCTCGCTCGCTCTCGCTCTTTGCGCGTGTGAGAGAAAGCGACGGCGAGTCGTGCGCCTTCACACTAGATTTTACGTTACGCCAAATACACAAACACAGGTGCGCTGCGCATCCATTGAGATGAAATGTATATAGTTTACATGTAGCGCATCAATTCTGCATGTTATGCAAGACTCTCGCTCTTTGCGCGTGTGAGAGAAAGCGACGGCGAGTCGTGCGCCTTCACACTAGATTTTACGTTATGCCAAATACACAAACACAGGTGCGCTGCGCATCCTTTCAAATGAACTGAAAAATATCAGATCGCTTGACGGAGAGTGAAACTGAAGCGCTCAGTCAGAGTGTTCTGCGAGTGAAAATATATCTGTGCTAATCATATACTCAGCCTCCAACTCACACACTGGCGAGTAAAATCTGAGAATTTATTAGCCATTGGCTAATATTAGACATCATTTAGTCGCCCAGAGAAACTACATTTCAATATCGTGATAATACCGCATACCGTGATAAAAGCATTAGCAATTAATAGCAACATGAAAATTTGATACCGGCATATCCCTACTGCCGAGTAAAATCTGAGAATTTATTAGCCATTGGCTAATATGAGACATTTAGTCGCCCAGAGTGAAGATTGAGTCGCATATGCGAGTGATTTACTCGCAATGTAGAGGGTTGGGACTGCATGCGCAATGCAAACGGAGTATGTGTGAACCTGGTGTAAAAGGCTGCCTCGCATACAGCTCACGAAATCAGGCTTGTGCTGTGTAAGCTATTGTGCAACAATTTGCACGATTGTAAAAACAAAAATGCAGTGCATGATCAAACATTTAGGTGAGAAATGTATTTTTGATATTTTTGGTGATGGAATCGGCAGATACTGCTTTCTGTGATCGGCCTCAAAAATCCTGATCGGAGCACCCCTATCTAAAATAGCAAAAATTGTCAGTGTTCATTGTAAAGAAACTTGGGACATACCATCCATGCATGGGTTGTCATCGTAGATGGGTTTAACAGCACAACTAAAGTACAACTCCACATTTTTCTCAATAAGGCCAGAGTCAAATGGACACAGGTGTCCACGCTTGTCATACACACTGTGAATGAGAATTGTAATGTCAGTCAAATAATTGGAGAAAAACAAAACCACGAATACCATTCAGAACGATGCATTTCTCCTTATTACCTGAAGTTAGTAATCTTGTGCTGGGGCAGATCTTCATAGCTTTCAAAACCATCTTCATTTGCATCAAAGAGGGATAGACGGTCATCAGTCAACATCTCTGGTTCATCCAACTACCAGAGACAAATCATATTCAATATTAGTGTTGCAAAGGCATTAGTCAACTTTAAATTACAAATGTGGATCAGTTAAGAGTCCTCCAAAATGAAAATTGCCGTAATTTACTCACCCTCATGTTGTTCCAAACCTGCACAAGTTTTTCTTCTGTTGAACAGACATTTTGAAGAATGCTGGTAATAAAACAGTTGGTCCCCATTGACTTCCATAGTATTTCTTCAAAATGTTCTTTTTTAGACTTGTGCCGGTATTCGGTAATGCGATATATCACGGTAATGAATATGCACGATATTGTTATCGTGGGCACTTCTAAATAGCGTGAATTATATATAACAAATTATTCAGAATTTAGAATGCATCTTAAGAATACTTTTCCCATAAACTGGTCAAAATGCACAACAGCGCTGTATGCTGGATGAAAGACCCGTGAGCACTTCAACAAAGAAACTTACACAGATTTGGAACGACACGAGTGAGTAAATGACAATTTTTATTTTGGGGTGAACTATTCCTTTATATACCCAATTAAAGAGACATTGATTGGCAGCAGCCAAACAAACACTACATAACAGCTCAAGGCATAACAAAACTCACAGCATCATCAGGATCTCCCTGGAAGAACTTGAGGTCTGAATCATCCAGATACTGCCTGCAGTCAGGACATTTTGGTGGAGGGGTCTAAAATGCAGATTAATGAGATTCATTTGGTGCATTAAAATTCAAGCAGCAGCATAAATGGGGAATGAAATGAGCGTCACCTTGGCTGCGGACACAGGCTTGATTTTGCCATTAGTAGTGTTCTCAGTATCAGGCCTGAAAGCGGTAGGGGATAGGATTTATTAACCTCACAGATTCCTTACATGGGGAGAAAACCTGGTTTAAATTTGACTAACGTGGAACTCACTTTTCAGCTTCTGTTTTAAGGCGTTTCTCTTCACGGACCTTGACCAGGGGAAGAAAAAAAATTGTTCTTATTAAAATATTTCCATGGATATCTTAAAACCGCATTAACGGTCAAAACCTTACCTCCTCTGTAATATCTTCCTCTGTAATATCTTCCTCAGGCTTCACTTCTGCCTCACCATTTGTGGCTTCTCCATTCAACTCATCAGACTTGCGTTTTGGGCTATTGGAAGGTACAACACCCATTTATAAACTGACCAAAGACTAATACAAACTCAATCGGATTTCAACTGCCCAAGCACAAAACTGCCATTTCACATCAGATTTGCACAAGAGCACAACACTTAAAATGTTGACTTACACTCTAGAGAACATGGAAAGGATAGTTGGCTGTTTTCCAGAGTTGCGCGTGACCCTGGTACTGGCTGGAGATTCTGTGGGGGAATAAAACGCACCATTTATAAAGTCTAAATATTCTACATCCAGCACACAATGTAGAGATGCAGCTGTTGAAACATATGGAGGGTAATTAAAAGCTGTAAACCCCTGCAACTCACTCTTGGGCTCAGAGTCCGCTTTACTGCGACGGCCACCCCTTCCCTTTGGGGCACTGGGAGACTTTATAGCATCTCCTTCCTCCCGAGTATCCATGGCGCCCTCCTGCTCGCCCTTGTCTTTGGGAGACCCATTTTCAGAGAAGCCGTTTGAATGTCTGTTCTGCTCCACTCCTTCATCCTCCTTGACAACTCCCAGAGCTGTATTCAGCACGGCCTTCACCTCTGACATGTAAACCTCCTGAACAGAAAGACACTCAAGTTGAAGCACAAGTTCTCATCTGTTGTAGACGGGAGAACTGAAAGGGCAGCGTAACTCACAGTGGAAAGCTCGGAGCTCTTTAACTTGTCCTCAAGGATTTTGAGCTGGTCCTGAGTATCAGTGAGCAGGAACTCCTGCAGTAACCTGAGCTTTTCCTTTATACACTTCTACACAATGAAGAAAACTGTGCAGTCAAGCTACAAAAATGTTTTAGAAATTCACTCATGCATCTGGCAGATGCTTTAAATCAAGCATTCAAGGGACATGTTAACATTTTATCAGTTCTTGCTTTCCTTGGAAATCAAACTCATTAACTTAGCATTGCCATGTTCAACTGTTTGAGCTACAGGAAACAAAAAAAAAACAAAAAAACCCTTTACAATACTTCACACATAAATCTAAGGCATGTTTCTCATTATCTTTGGATATAAATGTTGAAATTAAATAAGACAAGAAAAATTGTGCCTTTAAGATTTGATCAACTAAATAAATAAGAGGATGTGTTGGACCAGATAGACAGTGGTGGCCAAAATTGTTAAAACACTTGGCATATTAAAGAGGTTTCAGTTGTTTTTGTTGAATTGGCCATTACAATCCCCATAAAACGAACTATTGCCGGAATTACCTGCGTTGGAAGGAATCTGCTGTAACATTGAAAATTACGGACTGGCCCCTCAAAGTCCAGACCTCAACCCCATCGAGAAAATTTGGGGCGAGTTGGAAAATAAACTGGACAGATCTATTGTGCATTCAAAGGAAAGCCTTTGGCTTGAGCTGCAGAAGGCATGGGATCACATTAGTGTTGAAGTTCTCAGGAAATATATCGACATGAATGCCAGAAAGATGTGCTGCTGTAATTGCTGCAAAAGGTGGACATACCAAATATTAAAGTCAAAAGTGGATAAAAACAGCACGACTCGCTTCATCTGATATTTGTTGTGCTCCGAGCAACCATCCGCATGTTTCACGAACATTATGAAATGAAATCATGTTTTGGAGGCAAAAAAAGGGTCAATATTTTCAGATCTGTCAGGTGTTCTAACAATTTTGGCCACCACTGTATGGCAACACTAAGACTGTTGTTAAATTACTAACGTACAATACATGAAGGGCATATTTTTGCCAGATTTCTGTGAGATGCCTACATGTACATAAAAAAAACAACAACCATCACCTCATCTGACAAACTGTCTCCACCTTCATCCAGCACCTGCAGCCTGGGAAAATGAAGGTAAACATCTCATTAACATTACGCAGCACCCAGCATCAAAATGACTCGACATGCAATAAACATTTTACAGTCTAACATTTAATTTTAATACAGTTAATACAATCTTCGTCTCAGAAGAGTGACGCTATCATGGGATTACTCAAGTAAACATGCACACACGCATGCAGACAAAGTCGGCGTTTATTTTGTTATTACCATCACTTTTGATTATCCTGTCGTAAATAAACTACACTAAACGCAGGAGGAATCAGTAACGTTAGTTATGAGTCTAATGAATTGTGCAGTGATTGAGTAGAGCGAGACAGGAGGCGAGCAGAGCTATACTCGGACACATGTGTATTTGGCGCCAAATGCAGTCAGACTGACACCTGCGAGTCCGTTCGTATCAAAACAACCAGCCGCCGCATGTTTTACCTCCACACGCGAGCTGATGGCGGGTAACCTTACAGCATTTGTAGCACGGCTAAATGCTAACTAGAGTAAAAATTTACCATGTTTTACATCTCCAAACAGCACATCAAACAGCGGCTGTTATGTGACGTGATCAACGTGTAACAAAGCCCGCGAATGTGCAAACTATGAAACGCAGTCTATCGTTGCATTAAGGCAAATACAGCACCGTACCGTTCCTTGACATCCTCTGGCAAAGACAATGAGGTCCTGGTAGGCATTTCAAGTTCGATCAAAGAAAACGACTATTTAAAAACACGATTTAAAACCACAACAGATAAAAGCGGCGATTAAGATCTGACAGTGCCAACAACAGCGCTCACTGGAGGGGCTTTATGAATTGTCGCTAGCAGCTGAGAAATACGCGCGGGGCCGCTTTTTCGCGCGGAAACACGGGCGAGTTGGACGCTACCACTAATTTAAAGTATGGGGGTCGAATGTGTCAAATGAGTTGTGCGTTTCTAGTTTGGTTTAAACTATTCAGATACATTATTTTGAGTATATGGAAAACATATTAGTGTTATGAAATATAAACTTTAAGAGTGAAAGAATACGAAATCTTAATTTGTTTTCAAGGATTATTTTCGTGTGCACCCCTACTACGGCTTCAGAGACTCAACCTATATGGGATGTACCACATTTTGCTTTGCCTCAGGGGTGCAAATTCACTCCTCATTGTCTTCAAAGAGTGTAAATATTTAACATTGCCGGTGACGGATAGAAATCTGTCACCGAGCCGACCAGTTCGACTGGGTTATTTATATCGAATATATTTGAATTACAGTGTTATATTACTTAAATAAATAATAAATAATTTAATCATTTAATAAAGTATACAAATGATCTTTAAACAAACAAATGCAGATGCAAATTCAAATGCAGCGCTTTGAAATAAAGGTACCTAAAAATCAATACATAATAAAATTAACACTAAATTAAAGAAATACAGTAACAGCAGCATTTCCAGCATGTCTATTCTGAAAGTGTTCAAATTTGTTCAAATGTGTTGTGATTTTAATTTTTATACTGAACTATTCAAAAGAAAAGATGTTATACTAATAACTAATTTTATCACAACCCAAAATCATAACATCTACATATGTATACAAATATAGCATAACTTAATAATAAAGAAATAACAGTTAACAAGCATGTTAGTTTAGATTTTATTTTAGAATACTCTATTTTTTATTTTGTGACCAAAAGCAAATGTTGTATTATATCCAACTGTATTATATTCAAATGTATTAAATTATTAACATTTTGAAATAATTAAACTAAAATGTAAATAACAATTGATACATTTTTAAAAATCAAATTCACTTTATATTGTTTTTTTTTTGTTGTAATAAAACAAAAAAATGTTACAACAAAAATATAATTAAGAAATGAAGATATGCTTCAATGGCATATTTTTCTTTGTCTTTCTTTCTTTTTTTCCCTCCTTTTTTCCCACCTCCTCTTGTGATATGGCATGACGGGCCAAAACAAAGGTCATCAAGGGGCAACATGGGCCCTGGTTTTGGGCATCTCTGCTTTAAAATAACTGCAATAGTTTGACAAAATCATTCTCATCCTATGATCATAATCATGTAATCTTAGTTTATCCTACAGATGGCGCAACAGGCCAGTAAATTTTTTTTACATATAACGTTAGAATATTTTCTTTGTCTGACCACAAGGTGACACTCTTGTACAGCAGTTGTAGTTTCTGCTATGGGTGCGCGTCTTCTCAGAATAAATGTGTTCTCACATATGCCGGTGGAGTGGGAGTACAGAATGGTCATTAATCACAAAGACTGTTCTGAAAACAACTGTATATGTTTGCAGCTGTTTCAGTATGGCTGACGTCACTTCCTGCTAACTCTTGGCATATTCCCAGCTGTGTAGTCTTCCAGGGCGGATTGCTGTTCCCACCCAGGAATTTTAGATGTTTGACAACAACCAGGCCAGACCACCCTTAAGCCCACTCAGTCAGAGTTCACAATCATTTTTTTAAGGTCATGCCGACCCAGCCAATGGCCTCCCAGACACAGCTTTCCCATAATGCCATTCCTATTGATCTCTCATCACACTCCCTTCTTTCCTTTAAAACTCTTCGGCTAAACATCTGCACTCCCACAAAACTTTGGAACTGGCACTTATTGGACTGTCAGAAATCAAGGCCAGCAGTTCTAAGCAATATTGCTTGCGAACAGATTCATGTCCTAGCGAGTCGGGCCTTAACCATGTTCGTGCGTGTTAGCATTTAGTTTCCCTTTTTTATTGTCTAGTCAGATTTCTGTAATATGTGGGATAAAGCTCTTTTGTTCAGATTGTTCACTCAATACTGCGTAGGATTGAAATTCAAAACAAATGACGTAGTGGCATTAATCACTTCTGTGTCACGCACACAACAACCACTTCAGAAGTTACACTTTTTGGTGTATGCTAATTGCTAAAAGCATGTGTGAAACCAGGACCGTCCTTAGCTGACGCGGGGCCCGGTGTGATGTAGGGAGTGGGGCCCCCCTTGGTGACGACCGCACCAGTTGCACCCCCCTAAGGACGGCCCTGTGTGAAACTATCTAGATATTTTCAACTACAACCTTACAAAATATAAAACTGAGAACAACAACAAATGACACATTTCTTTGTATTTATTTTCTTTTTATTAAAAAAAGGAATGAACTAATGTGTATGTACCTACATTAGTGTTTGGGATTGTACCGATTTAGCACAGGTAGCTTGCTACTAAAACACAAGGCTATTGCACACAAGACATTCTATACGTATACACAATACCTACATACTGTACACAGATACATACATACATACTTTCATATATTTATCATATAAAACAAACATTGTTCCACAGGGTAGGCAATGTTTTACATTGAATGGAGTGATAGGGATGCTCACACAGGCTTAAACTCTTCATGCATTAAAAAAGAAAGGAAGAAAAAACAAAATACATTAGGCCGGTATTGGAAGAGCTGCCAAAGTGCTTTCTCTGCTGAACTAAGGCGATCAGCAGAGGAAACTAAAACATGTTGGGATTAAACGGCGAACGATTGTGCGAGTGAAAGTGTTGGACTGATGATATTAACGTATGAGAAGATCAAGGTCAGTCCATAGCAACAGGAAGAAGCATTGGAAAACACCAGACTTCCTGTGATTGTACCGATTTAGCACAGGTGGCTTGCTACTAAAACACAAGGCTATTGCACACAAGACATTCTATACGTATACACAATACCTACATACTGTACACAGATACATACATACATACTTTCATATATTTATCATATAAAACAAACATTGTTCCACAGGGTAGGCAATGTTTTACATTGAATGGAGTGATAGGGATGCTCACACAGGCTTAAACTCTTCATGCATTAAAAAAGAAAGGAAGAAAAAACAAAATACATTAGGCCGGTATTGGAAGAGCTGCCAAAGTGCTTTCTCTGCTGAACTAAGGCGATCAGCAGAGGAAACTAAAACATGTTGGGATTAAACGGCGAACGATTGTGCGAGTGAAAGTGTTGGACTGATGATATTAACGTATGAGAAGATCAAGGTCAGTCCATAGCAACAGGAAGAAGCATTGGAAAACACCAGACTTCCTGTGGTTACAGGAAGTTTAAAGTTTCTTCAGAAGACTTGTGACCCATTAAAAGACATGGCATTCTCAGTTTGTCCTAATCTCAGAGTTTCCCGTCTTATCAATGGTGTATTTATTTTAGTTAACTTTAAATGTCGTTAAGACTTCACAGTGAGTGCCCGTTCTTGTTGCTGCAAGCTCAATAATCAACAGGAGAACAATGATGTTCGGTAATACTGTCGATCAGCGAAAATGTTCGCTCGTAACACTTCATTCTTATATTCAGTTCCATTCGTCAAGAGGGCACGAAACGAAGCACATGCTGCCGCGGCGACGCTACGGCATCGTCATGCCAACACAACCAGCGTTTACATCGAGAGAAACTCATATCAGGAATTCAGTAATCACATTCTGATTGTGCTTTCCTCTTAGGAAAAATTAGGAATGTTAAAAAAAAAAATAGGAAGGGACAGTGAGTTTAGATGGACAAGATGGTCAAAGAGGAGTAACATTGACAATTGTACATAGGTTTGCCATACATATTTTTTACACAGGTTAGACTTTCATGCAATACAATGAAGCGGAATACTTTTATTGTCAAACGGTAATCAAAGGGTGTTATGTATATCAAGTAATTCGATAAATACGTTAGGCGAGGTTCTGCAAGCATGCATGGAAGTTTGGCTCACATGGAGTGCATTGTCGATCCTTACATTTCATCTGTCCACTCGAATCTCTGAACCAGTCTACTTGAGGATAGGATACAACTTGTATGTGACTTCTGGTAGCTTGGTCAGCATATGAGAAGCATGCAATCCCAAGCTGCCTAGAAGTCTACAAAGTGCAACTTTGATTTTTCATGTTTTGTCAAAGAGCTTAAACGCATATTCCTATTTGAATTTGGCTTTCTTTCATTTGCCTTAAAATGCCAAATACGTGGTAAGGAACTTTTGCAAGGACAGAAGCAACAAAGGACACATGGATGTTCTGGTAGCACAGTTCTACTCTACAGTAGAACTCTAGCACAGAAATCTACTCTAAATGTCCGAGTCCAAAGACATTGAATGTGATTCTCATTTCATCCATGAGCTCTCTGAACACTTCCATCTTCTGTGCCTTGCCTCCAAGATGGGGTCTCCCCTTATCTTCAAACACCTGAGGAGACTAAATCAGACACAAGTAGTGCAGTCCTGCATGATGGGAATTGACTGATGTTCATGTTTGTTGGTGCAGTGCTCCATTGAACTCGAGCTCTTGAGTGGCACCATGCAGCGGTGAGGAGGCCGGCCACAATTGAGCAGCCCCCAGCAGCAAAGCACCCTGAGGAACTCCTTTCTCATGTCCTTACTCCTCAAAGTGTAGATCAGCGGGTTCAGTGCCGAATTCAGTGTGGCGAAGCTAAAGAAGACGGCAGCATTGTTGAGGATAGGACACTGTTCCATCGTACAGGAAGTGTCCAAGAGAAGGATGGTGAAGGCGGGCAACCAACAGATGATGAAGACGCCCAGCACGATCGTAACAGTCTTCAGGAGAGCGTAAGCTGGAGAATTGGTGGCCTCTTGGTGGCTGGTACGCACAATAAGGTAGATGCGAACGTAAAGGATCACAATGGACAGCAAGATGATGGTAAAGATGGTGACGACAAACAGGATGTAGTATCGGGAGTTGAGAGGCAGGACAGCGGAGCAATCCCCCAGGTTATTAATACAGTTCCAGCCGATAATAGGAAGACCTCCCAGAAGGAT